TTTATTAGTCCACACTAGTTGTGAGAATGACATTGTTTCCATTGCCCCATCCTCTCAAATTAATTTAGGAAGAAAAACATTCTTGAAGAGTTGTTGCGTTTTATTGATGTTTCTGTCTATGTAGTTTTAGGGAGATACTAGATGACTGAAACCCTATTTGAAAACATTAAGTCACACAAGAGTAGCCCCACTGGATCCATGTCAATTTGGTGGGTTAACTCCTCTGTACTTCCATTGATTCAAATGAGCCTACTCTAGTTGTGTCTTGCTATGCTAAAGGATAGCATAATAAGTACAAAAAAACTACAAAAAGGAGAAAATATTATTTTCATTTTTCAAAAAAAAAAAACACAGAGCACTATTCTGCTTTAAGGCTCCACTGGATTTATCACATTTCTGCTATACATTTTGCCTCACTGAGCCTTCCTAATGGGCTAGTATACAGTGTCTGCATATGGAAGAACAGTAAAAGGATGGTGATTTAAGTCCTAATTTTTACTGCATCAATAAATTCACATATTTATTATCCATGATAAACAATAGCAGGTCAGATTGTTTTTTCTGTCAATTGTGAAAAAAGTACTGATTGGTGCATTAAAATTAAATTAAATATAAGCCATTAGAATAATTTAGTAAGCACTGAGGAGAAAGATGACACTAAGTTTAAGAAAATCAACATACAAGTCACAGGAGTCAATCAACATACTAATGTTCAACCACAATTTGCCATCATGTAATGAATTATGTACAGTGGTGCCTCGCATAGAGATTGCTTCGTATAACGATGAAATCGCTTTGCGATGAAGATTTTGTGATTGCTTTCCAATGTTACCTATGGGGGAATTTCGCTTTGCGATGATCAGTTCCCTGCTTGGGGAACCGATCATGGCAAAGCAATGCTTTTTAAACAGCTGATCGGTGCCACAAGCAAGGCTTTTTAAACAGCTGATTGGCGCTGCACTACCCCCCCAGAGCTCCTGCATAAATAGGAGACAGCGGGAGGGGGGGAGCAGGGGCGCTCCGGATTGGCGCCTCGGGAGAAGGGAGGGAAGGAGGGGCGAAAGGCCTGCCCCCGATCCCCGCGCGCACCTCTGGGGCGCCGAGCCAGAGAGCAGTCACAGCGGGAGGCGCTGCAAAGGAGT